GAGAAGGCGTTAGGAGCATTCGAGAGAAAAATTCTTCGGAAGATCTATGGTCCCTTACGCGTTGGCGACGAGTACCGAATTAGATGGAACGATGAGCTGTATGAGCTATACCACGACATTGACATAGTTAAGCGCATAAAAATTCAGCGGCTACGCTGGCTTGGTCATGTCGTGCGAATGGAAGAAAGTGCTCCGGCTAGAAAGGTATTTGATTCGGTACCCGCAGGTGGAAAACACGGTAGAGGACGTCCGCATCTTCGGTGGAAGGACCAGGTGACCAACGATTTGGGGGCGCTCGGTACTACCAACTGGCGTCAGAAAGCAACTAATCGGGCTGACTGGCGGAGACTACTCGACGCGGCCAAGAACGACACACGTCTGTAATGGCCAACTAAGTAAGTAAGTAAGATAAAAGGTCAAACTAGAACCAGTCAGAGGCATTAACAAATGCAAGAATCTGGCTAATGCTGGTGGGGCATGATCTGTAATCAGTGTTTACTGCAGAAATTGGGTCTTGTTGATGGTGTGCAGTTGTGCAAAGTACTTTCAATGCAGTCCTATTTTCGATGAGGTATTTGCATTTCATGTCTATTATGAGACCATAATGTTCGAGAAAGTCTGCACCCAGTATTGGTTTTTCAATTTCCCAACCACAAACTCCCAATTGAATGCCCTGTGTACACCCAAGGTTAGTGTTTGATTTACTGCCGAAAGTACGAATAGTTGAATCATTTACTGCACAAAAAGACTTTGATAAAACTGGCATTTTGTATTTACCAATGTATTTACCGCCGAATTTGAAATGATAATAACAGGTTGGACACCCAGCAACTCGGTTTGCAGATCAGGAAGGGGCTTCATTACCACGCGTAGGTGTAGCTACTCTTAATCGTGATCGGCGATACATTTTATCCGCTTCTATTTCATTTAGTCTGTTGTTTAACTTTTCGACTGCTGCAATCTATGAACTAAGGTCGAATAGCATGCTACACACTGAATTCTTTATTTTTGATAGCACTGCCGAATCTGCATGATAGTTACCCATTTCAAGTATCAAATCCATCTGCTGTGCGCACTTCTCTAGATCGACATCTACAATTGAGACTACAGCCCGAGCAACTTCAGGTAGTCGATCGAGCCATAGTTGTATAATATTGCCATCCTCCATTTAACTGCTAGCCAAATTGCATATTGTTCTGAGTAGCTGAGAAAATTTTAAGTCGCCTAGCTGACACTCTCACTCCAAGTGTCGCAGCTTCCGGTTTTCTGAATCGGCATAATTCTGAATCAGACGTTTTTATTGCTTCATATTTTCCAGACAATGGAGGATTTCGGACAATATCTAATATAGCTATGTTTATTAACGTAGCGCTGTCAAGGTTGCAAATCACATGATAGTATTTTGTTTGATCCGTTGTGATGTTGGCATTTCTGAACTGCGCTTACATTTGTACGAAATACAAATCCAGATCATGTCTGATGAATGGCAGTGTTTTAAAACCTAATCGACAGATATCACCGAGGTTTGTTCAGGCATCGCTATCCATCAGTATTCGGCATTGTGATGACGTAATTTCCTAGCACTGTTGTGTTTACTGCTTTATATTCTAATTTGTTAAGCCACGATCGTTTATCTTGTATAAAAGACTTTATGTTGAACTTGCAGAGTTATTTGTATTGAGTTTGAAGTGGTTTAGTTTGATGGCTGTCTAGGATTGTTTGTAGTAGTTTGTGTTTCATATTTCGTCATTACTCAATCATTTTCCAAGTTTCCTGCTTTATCTATTCTTTCTGTTTTTTATTTCGGTAACCCAATCATTGCTTGCCTACATCTTTATAAAGTGTTGTCTAACTTACACCTTTAGCCTGAATTTGTTCAGCTTGCCATTGGTGCTTGCTGCTTAACATCCAATTTTGGCTCCCATTTTTCATCGAATATCTGAAAGCGAACTTCTCCACATTTATTATTAGAAATCATTCAATAAAATTTAGGATGCAATTCACATCAGTAGCTTCATTACGATAGTGTTTCTTTTTCTATCGTAGTGTTTCTATTTGACACGTTTATGTAGAGAGCAGCTTGTTGCTAGTTCGACGCCCGCACCCTGCCGTACCTAAACTGGTGAACAGACATTAGAGATATGGATTGCTTTTAGCATATCTAATCCATATTTTCGACCTAACTGGCAAAGGAGGCTGTGCATGTAGTTACATTATCGCCGGCATTACTCTTAGGATCATTGTACATACTCTCCACCACGTCAAGGTAGCAATCCCCGGAAATTTATGTGATTTATAAACCACTTGCATCATTTTGATGTCGAGTTTAACTGTAAATGAGTATCATATGAAAAGAATATAAATCATTATATGTATTTTAGTTTTTATGTATGAGTTAGGCGGAATTAAGTGAATGACGAAAATAGTTAGAGTGAATATATGGTAAGTGAAACATAATCAACGACTCGAGTGACTAGTGTTTATTGCAGTTTTCTTATGTGTGACTGCATAATTTTGTATATTTTTATTTGTTTCGTTCCATGAACCAAACTACGTATTTATGAGTGGGAATATATTTGTTTCTTATGTTTTCCTCTAAATATGTCTGCAAATATTTGTATCTTTTATTTAGTTAGCGTTTGATTGCTAAGTTTTTTATGACTTTAAGGAAAGTTGCTTTGTATAGTTTTGTTTTTTTTGTTTTAAGAAATGTATATGCATTTTTTTCTTTGTTTGAAATTTGGGATGACCATTTTATTGTATATTTTCTTTTATGCATTGAATAAAGCTATGCAAATTCGTTAATATACCTGTGTGTACAATTTGTGTGCAGAAACTATAGCTTTATCTATTACCTGATAATGCATACATTTTTGTTTGAGCAAGTATTTTAATTGTTAAAATCAATTCAATATTTATAATAATATGAGTAGTAAAATATAATTTAAGTAAAGAATCTGGAGTAAAAAGAAGCAACACGCTCACACGAATGAAATGAACATTTTTTTGCTGGTTGATTTTAATGAATCCACACATGGAACAGTATTTGATCGAGTCGCTTCTTCTTCTTCTAGGTGCCTTATCTGCTTCGAACGTTGGCTAACATTGGCTAGCCTCTCAAAAAAGTGATCTTGTACTTTTATTGAACCATTGACGTGAATTTTTCAGCCATTATATCTTTAGTCTCCCAGGGCCATATTCGCCTTCAATTTTGCCTTCAATAATTAATTTCAGTAGTCCATACTTTTCCGGATGCCTCAGGATATGACCAAAAAATTTCAACTTTCGTCGTTTTACTGTCTCTAATATTTCTATCTCTTTGTTGACACGCCGAAGTACCTCTGCATTTGTATTTCTTTATGTCCAGCTTATTTTCAACATTCGTTGATAGCATCATATTTCAAAAGCATCGAGTTTATTCATCGATGCAACAGACAGCGTCCAGGACTCTGTCCCATAGAGGAGTATAGAGAATATATAACATCACAGTATTCTTATTCAGAGCAGTAGTGACAACTCCCGGGAACACAGCAAATTTTTTATTTTAATAAAAGAAGACCTTGCTTTTTAAATTAGAACATGTATTTCTTTACTATAATCCCATTGCTCATCAAGCCTGTATCCCAAGTAGTTGTACTTATCGTTTCTTTTTATGGCTGAGCAAAATACTATCAATCTTCCTCCATAAGTCGTTTGCTTACCACCATATATTGGGTTTTACTGCAAATAAATTTTAAGCTGTAATCTCTGCACTTCAAAACAACAGCGTCTAAAAGGTTCTGTAAGGCCTCTATTGAATTGGCAATAAGCACTGTATCATCGGCGTAGCTCAAATTGTTTATATGTACCCCGTTAACCATAATTCCATTGGTTGCATCGTGTAGTGTTTTTTTTTTTTGAAAATAGTCTCTAAATATATATTGAACAGTAATGGTGACAGAATGCACCCTTGGCGAACCCCGTAAGTTATATATATATTCACTGAGAATTTATTCATGATTAATAAAAAAAATAAAACACACAAATTTTAATGTTTATTAAAATTTTATTTTATTTTATTTTAAAAAAAGCCAATTTTATTATAAATAAAAATTGTTTTAGTTTACTATTTAACAATTATACATTTATTCACTTAATCTTAAGGTGGAATCTTAAGACTTAATTCTAGATACAAAATCAATATCTTATATACTACTTACAATTCATAATTGGCGAAAGTGGATGAAAGGTAATAATACAAAATTTGGTAACCTGTTGGCAAATTTGTTAAATGCTGATGCAGTTTGAGAAATACTAAAATGCAATAGATTTTGTAATATAAATTGCTATGAATTAAAGTATTGTTTTAATATTTTAATGATTTTGAAATTTGATTGCCGAATAGTGAAATCAGGAAATTTTGTGTTGCTTATTTAGAGCAAGTTAAAGTATCGTAGGATTATTTTGAAACTTTAATGACTTTGCAACTAGAATAGTTACATAGAGTTAAGTTTTGTAACTAATATTTGGAAAGTGTCGATTGAAGTCATTATTAAGCAAATTTTGTAATATAGGAAATATATTGTAGGATAGATTATTATTTGGGACACTTATGGGACATATACTGTCAAATTTTGCAATTTATTACTAATAAAACAAATTTGGTCACATAGACCAATTAATTGGAATATTGTGAAGTGTTGGCGGAGCCGATATCTACTTCCCACGTGAAGTAACTATTATTATTCGGATATCCTTTTCATCTAATCGGCAATACTTCAAAATTTCTATGAATTTGCCATGTTCCACAGTGTCGAAAGCTTTTTCGAAATCAACAAAACATAAAAAGACATATCTGTTATAGTCACGACAACGTTCTATTAGGACTCGTATTCCATCCATACAAGGCTTCTCTAGTACCATGCTCTTTGCGAAACCCAAACTGGGTATCACTCATTTGTTCCTCGAGTTTTGGATAAATTCTTTAATGTATAATTCAGAGGAATATCTTTAACACATGACTAATCAAGGTGACTGTTGAAAAGTCTGCACGTTTCTGGTGTAGCTTCTTTGGAAGCGCAACAAACATTGATTGGAGCCAATCGTTGAGTACCTGAACAGTATTATAAATTGTATGTATTTAAAAATCTTGTTAAATTTCATACGCCATTATTAATGAATAATTTTACCAATTCTTTTGGTATTTGGTCAGAACCCACTGTTTTTATTATTTTTGCTTTGTTCACTTCATCCAAAGTTATATGTGGACCTGAATAAGATTTTAGATCGGGTAGCACAGATGATCAGTTGCTCGTAAAAAGAGTTTGGATATGGCTTTCTCACATGCGAAGTGTTTCGTCTTTTTCTGTTATGTATTTACTTTCTTTATCCATAAGTGCGCTTCTCTTTCTTCTATTAAATATTATCATACCTCTACTTTTCTGGCATAAATGAAATAAATCATATCTTCTTCGATACCCCTCTATCTCTTCATATTTCTTTTTGTGAAACTCTTCTTTTGCTTGCCTACTAAGAAGATCTATAGATCTGTGTATATCCTTATATTTGCGAGTATTTTTATTTTTATACCAACTTAATTCATCCATTAATACCAGAATTTCAACCGTAATCCAAATTTCTTTCCTTTAATATCTGACCACGCGCACTTCATTGTTTGCTACTTCCATTACTGTGTCTTTGTCATATATATTTCCTCATTGGACATATCCTCGGGTTGCAAACTTGATAACCTTGTTTCAGTTTCATTTGCAACTCGCAAAGGGAAGGTTTTTGCGAATTTTATTGAGTTGTTTTTATTATTAAGTCAATTTGACCCTGTTTGTTGTATCTGCTGGTGACTTCCAGGTATAAAGTCTTCGTATTGGAAATAATCAACTTATTACTTTTGCGAAGTCAGCCAAACGAACACCTTTATCGTTTCTTTCACATAGACCAAATTTGCCAACAATAGCATCGTACCTTGGCCTATCTTGGCATTAAAGTCACCCATGGCCATCAGAACATATCTTGACTTTGTACTTCTTATCACTGAATGAATTCCTTCGTAAAATATTTCAACTTCTCCATCAGGAGTATTATATATGGGTGCACAAAATTGAATTATATCTTAATTTACTGGCCACTCCTTCATTTACACCATTATTATACGAGCGAAATGACACACAACATTTGTTACCATATTTTTGAGTTCTTTTGATATAATTACTGCAACACCATGTTTGTTTCTTCTTCCATCGTTGCCACTTTAGTACACATCATAATTGTCTATAGTACAGCTTTTGTGATCTGGTCATCAAATTTCCATTACTCCCAAAACACCAATTTCATGTTTCTGCATTTCCCGTACTGTGATACTAATTTTACCGCTTTCGAACATACTCCTGACATTCCTACTACCAATTTCATATGATTTATTATTACTGAATGTCATCGGAGCTGAACGGGAGATTCTTAGTACCCCTGCCCCATTTAAGGAGCGTCCGTACTCGGGGCCGTTGTTTTAATTTTCAGCCTGATTAGATAAATTGATTAATGTTGATAACTTGGAAAAATAATAGTGGTGGTTTCCCTTTGCCTTCCACAGCTGTGCACACACCGTTTATATGGATGCCACTTCGCTATCTGCTCATTCATGTAAATTAATTTATTTCTTTGAATAATATTTTTGTAATAATTTTTATATTAATTTATTTGTTCATTCAAACAGTATTTTTTACAATCTTATTATTAATATTATTTTACTAATTGTTGTCGCTTACGCAGCGTATTAAAAACTAAACTAAAAACTAATTTTACAATAATTTTAACTCTTAACACATATCCATTACGGGATATTGTTTTGCAGAAATAACCAACGGTAACTTGTTTTGATACAATTGTATCAAAACAATATCCCGTATGAAATATTTGTTTTGATGCAATTGATCAATAGTTATAATGATCATTACAATAAATGATCATTACAATAAATGATCATTAACTTGTATAATTATACCAGTAGTATCAACTTCTGCCTTTACATGATACTGAGAAATCAGCTGCCTTTCCGCAGCACCATCTGTAACCTTTTATCTATACTTCGTAAAGATTACAGTGGGAGTTTGGTACAAAGTTTACCATCTCCTGGCTGTTTGGTCAACGAGAGGTATTTCATTTCTCTCCTACCACTCATTACTGGGAGGCTTTCGCTATCCGCCACTTGCGACGCGCCCTCTAGGGGTTACAACCTCTCATCGAGTCATATTCATATTCATTCATATTCATATTCAAAATTCATTGGAAGTTGAGCTGTTTCATTACCAATTCCGTTTCAATTACAGGGTAATTGGTATCATACAGTATCATATATAATAAAATACGCTGAACAGTACTACTAGATCTGATCGATTTGAGTAAAATCTCTCCGGGGTTTGGATAGAGTTACTCCTTGTCATTTTTTCAATCTCTTTCTATATTGTTTGAAACCTGTGCAGTAAATTTTAACCTACAGGTCCAATATTTAACATAAGAATAAATGTGCTGCCAGTGCACCGGCAATGCAAATTTCAAAAACTAAGTAAATTAAAGTGAATCAAATAGATGTTGTAAATGAGGAAAAAAACAAAGTACTTTCATAAGATTGATTTTTAAAGTCAATTATAACGAAGAAATCTATATTCTTGAGAGTAACTTTTAAAAGAAATCTTTTCAACAGTAGTGAAGTACAACAATAAACGTCTTATTTTTAGGCAATTGCTATATAAATAGATAAACATTGAATAGCAATATCATTATTTCCGTGATGGTGTTTTTTTACAGGTTTATATTAAGAAATATTAAAAATATCTCCGGTTTTGTTAGGAAGTGCTTCAATTTAATTTGTGCAATAAATTCCTCATAATGTAGTAGTATAATTATAGCATAAGTCTACTTGTGTAGTAGTACAGGTATTGTAGTTAAGGTAGAGGATAGACCTTAGAATTAGGAGCAAAAGAGAAATAAAAACGACAGCTGCGTTACGACCGTCGAATAAAACAGACGTGTATTATTTCTACTAAAACAATGACATTTTTTTAATTGTATAAAAATTAGTTTCAATACTATTAAAAAATTCGATTAAAACTCTTACCAGCAATTGGTGAAAGAGTGCTTCCTTGCTTCATCAAAGCGCCATATACAAACCAAGCACAGTGTCCTAATGAATATGGTTTTTGATCTGAATCTTTTGTTATTTTATTACGTAAAATAATGAAAAAATATATGATGGGTCCCACGAAAAGTAGTGATAACACAATAAGTATCCAAACCCAGAATTCAAAAGGTGCCATTAGTCCGGAGCCAGTTGCTGACTCTCTCGGTCGCCTCATAACCATTATCCATTCTCCTTCATCTAAAGTAGTAGTTGAGAAATATATATAACTCCTTTGGTCAGATAGTAATGGTAAAAACGCAGCTGCTAAGTCAACCTCCTACAATAAGACTCGTTATAAATTACATGTAAATAATATGTTATTGATACCAAAAAGAATTTAGGATTTCAATTTTTATATTTGACTTACACTTCTATTAAGCATTTTAATTAGACTTAAATTAAAATCATTAGATGACCCTATTATATTTGCGTCTGGAACAACAACTTCATATGTGAAATTAAACTTTTCTTGTAGAAAATCGATTACTTCAAAGGAAACGCCAGAACCGATTCGCTTTCCATTCTCTAAAATTTGAGTATAGCTTAAGGGAAAGTCCTCTAACGTAGCTATACGCAGATGACGGCCATTTATCCAATTTCGTAAAGTAGAACGTTTTGTGTGAATTGACTGCATAGAATCTTCCGTTGAGTTTATCTCATTGGTAGTGAGTTGCTCTGACAATTGCATATCTTGAAGTTCATTGTATATTTGGTTGTAACTTTGAGCACATATAACACATAACGATGCTGATAGTATCAATTTTAAACCGCTCATTGCAAATTTATACATATATATAGATTTTTTTGTATAGTGATATCAAGTTTTGTTTACTGCAAAAATCTAAAATAAAATAATTATTAAATCTAAATCCTACATTAAAATTGCAATCAAAATTATTCAACGGTTTCTTAAAATTTATATGAACTGTATAAAGAACCAATTAAAAAAACGAACAAATGCTAAAAATCATTTTTTATTTTTTTACTTCGTCTGTTCCTCATAGATTTAAATTATAAAATTCGAATTATTATAAGAAATGTCTATTTATTTTGTTTTGTTTTGTGGATACGATCTGAGAGACGTGTACTCAGCTGTAAATAAGCTTGCAAAAACGAAGCGAAACATACCCCCTTTGGTAGACTAAAATAACAAAATGCTAACGAACATGAAGTAGAAAAAGACAAAATCAGTACAGAAGTGGAAACAGGTTACAGATACAAACCTGTTAGAACTATATCCATCGACCATCCAAGTGAAAATGAAATCAGAATCGCTATTTTGGGACTTAAAAACAACAAGACGTCAGGTACTGATAATGTACCATCTGAGCTTTTAAAGCAAGACATAGACGTATTGAATCCGTTGCTTTATCCCATTACGCACGAACTGTGAAATACAAGAAGCATACCGACAGATTGAAAAAGGGCATTATCGCAACAATAACGAAAAAAGAAAAAAAAGGAGGAATCACAGTTTTAAATTCTATTGAGTAGATTCTTGCCTTAATAATCCTGCAAAGCATCGTCCCGCACTTAAATGCAAGACTAAGACGAGAACAAAATGGTTTTAGACCGATCCGTGGGTAGACTACATATATAATTTACGAATAATGATATAGCAATCTGTAGAATGGCAATCTTCGTTATATTTGCTTTTGGTTGATTTTTAACAGGCGTTTAATACAACTCGAAGAAAAAAATCTAGAAGGCACTCAAAAAGAACGGTATACCTGACAAGATAATTAGCCTAATAGAGAAGTTATACAATAATGCCAAGACCTTCGTGCGTTTTTAAGGCAAATTTAGAAATAAATTTAGAACATCAAAGAGGCGTTCGTCAAGACTATGCCGTTCTTTTTCACCACAATGCTAGATAAAGTGCTAAGCAAAAAAAACAATGAATGCCCAGAAGAAATCCAATAGTGACCACTATTGGCCATTACTGGTCACAAGAAAACTTTGTGACTTGAACTACGCAGATGACATCTGTTTCACTACACATATGCTACAACCCACAAAATGAGTGCTCGAAATCCCGGTCAGGAATACGACTGCAGTCGATCTCAAGGTGAATTTAAACAAAACCAAGTTAATGGGAGCTAACGCAACAAACGAAATCTAAACAAAGCACACAAACATAAACATAAACATTTATGTTTAAACATAAACAAAGCACACAATGCATAACATAAACTGCGGGCAGTATGGTATAGAATTCATTAAATATTTACTAAGAGACAAAATGTTTAGAATCTTTAACACCAGTGCCGTGTCATGCAATTCATATTTAGAAAAATACAAATATTCATTAACAAATGTCTGCGTAGAATTTGTAAAATATTCTGAACGAACTTCAAACCGATAGTTATAGAAATCAAGTCTCGTAAACGAAACTGGATTGCTTTCGAGTGGAACCGTAGCGCATTTGCAGAAGAGAAAGAGCCACAATAAATTGAATGAGCTCGACACATGCAGAAAATAGAAGCTTGGGTACCTGTCGGGGTATTAAGCAAATGGCAGAAAATCGAACATGGAGGGAAATCGTTACCGCCTTATGCTTCTATACGAGCGATAGTTAAAAACACGTATGTATATCTGATATCATCAAAAAAATTTAAAAAAAAAGAAAAAAGATCTTATAAAATATATGATGTATGCAATTGAAAACAACAAAGCATAAACAGATGTTATAATATGGTAAAAGCATTTAAACTGCAACTCTGATTGAGCGACGAAATTTGTACACCATAGCTCGCAACAGTGCGGAATAGTTTGAAATATTTTAATTGTTTATATTTACAAACAGTTGATAAAATTATCATTTCAGATGAAAACACTTTAAATCCCTATCATTTACACAACCTGAGATAACAAATTGGTCTAACATGTAATTTCTCAAAATTCCATGGGAATAGCGAACCAGATGGAATCATAATTTCGGAACGCAGGGATTACTTTAGATCAAACTAAATATGATTATGTAATTGACAGAATGGCAGCGTCACTTTAAGATATATAGCAAACAGCATTCGTGCTCTACCAATAGCGCGAAATACGAAATGATTAAAAAGCGAATAATTCAAGATTTTGCTGATTCGGAAAATCGAAAACTGATTGGTACAGGAGTGCGAACTAGATGACAGCAAGCCAACACCCTTGTTGCGAACCATGCGCGATCTAGCCAACGGCGCTATGAATGATGGAGCAATTAAAAAATTATAGCTGGACCGTTTACCTGAAGCAGTACGAGCAGGCGTTTCAATTTCAGAGGCTGGCTTGGACAAATGTGCTCAATAGGCGAGCATTTAATATGTTGAAACAAAATAAAATTGTTCTATGAAGTGTGTCGTAAGTAAACAGTAAGCGAGTAAAAGTGGTCTTAAGTTTCATATACCTATATTTTCAATATAATAACTCAATATAAAATATAAAAAAAATATATTGAAAAAGAAATATAAAAGAAATATAAATGTAATCAATATTCTTGTTTTCAAGGGATACTTAATTTTGTTTAATATTATAAAATACACATAACTATATATATATGTACAAAAATTATTTAATAATTATAAAAATTTATTAACTAACTTATAAAAGTTTTGGAATAATTTTCATAAAGCTCTTCTTGATAATCAGGAACATGAATATTAATTGGTGGTGATGTTAATAAATTTAAAACTTTATTAGGATATGTGTTTGAGTTTTTTAAAGGCACATTTCTTAAGCTACTTATAATTGGATCAGAAGTTACTAAAATTACAATGCTTTTCGATTGTCTCGATTCGTGGCTTCTTGTGAGTTCTTTCTTGTATGATGCTGTCGAAATCTACGACAATCCTTATTTCGCGCTTCCTGCACTTCTTCTGAAAGCTGTCCTATTGATAGAAGTGAACTATTAATAACATCCGCACCATGAATGAGAATCTTATGCAGAGTGGTTGGCATGTAATACCAAAAATTGTCTTTTATATATAAAAGACTAGTAAAAATGCAAAATGGGTCACATTAATATCAAAACCAGATGACAAGGTTATCAATATAATTTTAAAATTGTATATTAAATTTTCATTTAACCCAGTAATTTCTGCACTTAATTTAGTATTATGAAAAAACCTGCACGCAGTATTTTCATCATTAGGGGATCCACAACCTAATTTCGGTTCGTCTATAATTAATTCCATATCCCGCTTAAATCTTACTTTGATGTCATTTGAACGCTGTCTTACGATTATTTTATCGCATTCGTGTCTTATTTGCCATTTCTTAATATCAAGTCGATAGCTAATGTGCAGCAAACATTTAAAACAAGGAATCCATCCATGTAATGTAGGCAAACCGAAACCATAGTTCTCTTTATTAAATAAGAAAACTTTTATATCATTCATTTCTTTAGGTGTTGCTACGCAAATATAGCACTTTTGTGGTGATCGAGTTTCTGTCAATGCATTGCACACCTTTCCACCAACCATTGTAAATAGCATTTTGTGTTCTACACTTATTTCATTATCATATGCGTAATATTTCGTTGGGTATAATTGGCTTATGTCGTTAAGCACTTTATTGGATTCTTCTGCGACAAATTCCGTGGTTTCTTTAGAAAAAATTAACTTAATTGGACGACAATACATTGTAGATGACGGTCGAGGATTCTGCAATATTACTTTATTACCATATTTTAGTTGAATGGATACAAATGAAAAAACAAATAAATATTCCTCGCTATCTACGCAGTTTGAGAATTTTTGTTTATATGTACTGTGTCCAGAACTTCCGTCACATCCCCATTTACTAATTAAAGTTAATGAATAAGCAGGTGACAATTCCCTTACCACATTTCTTTGCAGTTTTAATATTCGAATTGTAGTGTGATCAATAACTGATTGCAGTTTTATTTCCATTCGAGCTTTTCTGAATTTCGCTAAAGAATAGTATGATGGAAATATTTCACGGCCAACTTTGAGCGCCCATTTTCGAGTTCGTTTGTATAAATTACTCGTCAGTCTGGTATCGACAAAGTACACTAATGCAGCATCACTTGTTAAACTTCACATTTGGCTTTGTTCTGCACATTGTTCAGATTACCTCAAATTTCTTTGACAAACTTGCCAATTTCACTTGTAAATCTCCTGTGGACTCTTTTGTAATATCAGACAACTCAAACTTTTGACTAATAAAAAGTAAAAGTTTTTTGCATCTTTCATGTTTTGCATGAGACAACCATTCGAAAAATTCCATTTTTGATAAGTACAATCTAAAAACAAATTAAAATAGTTGAACACTGTTGTGCGCTATATAATATTTTCGGGGTACAAAGTCTACAGACTTATTAAACACATATCCAAAATTCAGACGGGATACAAGAGGATACAAAAAGTTGCACTTCACCAAAAGTTTAATGCAAATTTTTAGACAGATTTATCTAATTTTAAAAATAATACGTATAATTATATAAATACGTAATACGTATAATTATATTTTGCTTCAAAAATATAGTAAGTTCTAACCTATCACTAAATAAGTCATATTTTTTTTTTTTATTTCCTCTTGTATAAAAAACTGACCTTTCTTCACGTGGTCAAAACTCAACTGAAGATCACATTTAAAATTAAGGCAGAATGTTTATACTTCTATGCATCATTTAGGAAAACTAACGGTAGTTTTATAGCAACCGTTATTTGTTTTGCAATCCCAGCACATTTGTTTACAAAACTGCATTGTTGCTTTTGGAAATTGTGAGTATTAATTTTGTCCACTTACTTTATACTAGACGAAACACTGTGAAACTGTTTATTACCGGCC